AGCAAGAAATCACCCCCCAGGGGGGATGGCCATGCCACAATCCCTTCTCCTCCATTCTCCTCTCAGGATCTTGGGCATGCGGGCACATGCGCCTGGCATGAGTTTTAAGCCACCGGGTCTGGGACACGAACTGTGGTAGACTACATGGGAGTCCAGCGACATAGCCATTACGTTAACTGCTGGTCCCAAGATAGTAACTTTCAATAGAGAAATGCAAACTATAAAAAGGAACCAAAAGGAAGTTCTAAAACTGAAAACTGTAATATCAGAAATAAAAATATTCTAGGTGGGATTAATAGAGTGGACATGAAAACAAAGCAAACTTAAACATAACTAATAGAAATGATCTAAAGGATATAGACAAAAAGGAATTTAAAAGGTTAACAAAAGCTCATAAATCTTTTTGACAATATCAGAAAGTCAAACTTGGGACCAGCAGATGGCATAACGGTTATATTGCTGAACTCCCACATAGTCAACTGTGGTTCAAGTTCCAGATCCACAGGCTTGAAACTCACACAGGGCACATGTGTGTGCATGCCCAAAATCTGAGAAGAGAATGGAGGAGAAGGGATTGTGGCATGGCCCGGGGGTGGGGGGGGCGGTGATTTCTCACTTTCTGTCTGTCTCTCCAGGGAGCACACATGCCCTATTGCAAAAATCTCTCATAAAAAACATGAAAGGGACCAGCAGATGGTGTAATGGTTACATCGCTGGGCTCCATGTAGTTGACTGCGATTTGAGTCCTGGACCCAGCAGCTTAAAACTCATGCTCAGTGCATGCCCAAAATCCCAAGAGGAGAATAGGGAAGAAGGTATTGTGGTGTGGCCACCCCCCTTGTGGGTGATTTCTCAGTTTCTGTCTCTCTGTTTCTCCAGCAAGCACACATGCCCTATTGCAAAAACCTCTCTAAAAAAATACCAAAGCCAAAACCAAAACCAAACAAAAAGTCAAATATACAAGTAATTGAAGTTCAGAAGAAGAGAGAATGGGGCTAAATAAAAAAATCTTCAAAGAAGTAGTGGCCAAACATTCTCCAAAAGTGGTTTAAACTTCATCAGCTGCAACCTGGATAAATAAAAAGATCACATGTTGGCAGATCACAGTAAAAACCAAAGATAGTGTGAAAAATCTTAAATATACTAAGAGAAAAATGATGCATTACACATAACAGAACAATGATCTGAAGCAAATATTTCTCATCAGAAACGATGGAGGCCAGAAGACAGTGGAACATCACTTTTAAAGTGTGAAAAAAAAATCCAGAATTCTATATTTGGTGAGTACAGACTTCAAGAATTAAGGTGAATTAAATTTATTTCCTTCAAATAAAAAAAAAAAGAAAATTTGTCACCAGCAGCCAACATATCTGCACCACAACTAGTGGTAAAGGAAGTTCTTCTAGTGAAAGAGAAATGATGTCAGATGGAAATTTATATTATGAGGAAAGAAAAAAATGTGTCATTCATGGTAAATATGAGGATCCCAGATTTCCAGAGAAGTGCAAAGAAGAATTGACAGAGCGACTAATATTAGGTCATCTGAAAAGTCTTTATGTATTTTGCTATGTCTTTCTGTGCCAAAATGTGTCGTGCCTTTCCTGATGGCCTAAGTATATTGGTGACAATCATGATTTTACAATACAGTTCAGCATTATAACAAATTCCATAAATATTACAACATAATTTAGGATTCTCTTTCCCCATACCACTTCCACAGTTAAAATCAATGCAGTTTCATCTATACTTACAATCATTGGTGCGCCAGGGTTTTGAGCTATAATTGTAGTGATCACTAAAATATCATTTCTAAGCTGACGATCATAATGACTGAAACCTCTCATAAACAGATTTTTAAATACTCATAACTAATAGAAATGATCTAAAGGATATAGACAAAAAGGAATTTAAAAGGTTAACAAAAGCTCATAAATCTTTTTGACAGTATCAGAAAGTCAAACTTGGGACCAGCAGATGGCATAACGGTTATATTGCTGAACTCCCACATAGTCAACTGTGGTTCAAGTTCCAGATCCACAGGCTTGAAACTCACACAGGGCACATGTGTGTGCATGCCCAAAATCTGAGGAGAATGGAGGAGAAGGGATTGTGGCATGGCCCGGGGGTGGGGGGGGCGGTGATTTCTCACTTTCTGTCTGTCTCTCCAGGGAGCACACATGCCCTATTGCAAAAATCTCTCATAAAAAACATGAAAGGGACCAGCAGATGGTGTAATGGTTACATCGCTGGGCTCCATGTTGTTGACTATCGCTGGGCTCCATGTAGTTGACTGCGATTTGAGTCCTGGACCCAGCAGCTTAAAACTCATGCTCAGTGCATGCCCAAAATCCCAAGAGGAGAATAGGGAAGAAGGTATTGTGGTGTGGCCACCCCCCTTGTGGGTGATTTCTCAGTTTCTGTCTCTCTGTTTCTCCAGCAAGCACACATGCCCTATTGCAAAAACCTCTCTAAAAAAATACCAAAGCCAAAACCAAAACCAAACAAAAAGTCAAATATACAAGTAATTGAAGTTCAGAAGAAGAGAGAATGGGGCTAAATAAAAAAATCTTCAAAGAAGTAGTGGCCAAACATTCTCCAAAAGTGGTTTAAACTTCATCAGCTGCAACCTGGATAAATAAAAAGATCACATGTTGGCAGATCACAGTAAAAACCAAAGATAGTGTGAAAAATCTTAAATATACTAAGAGAAAAATGATGCATTACACATAACAGAACAATGATCTGAAGCAAATATTTCTCATCAGAAACGATGGAGGCCAGAAGACAGTGGAACATCACTTTTAAAGTGTGAAAAAAAAATCCAGAATTCTATATTTGGTGAGTACAGACTTCAAGAATTAAGGTGAATTAAATTTATTTCCTTCAAATAAAAAAAAAAAGAAAATTTGTCACCAGCAGCCAACATATCTGCACCACAACTAGTGGTAAAGGAAGTTCTTCTAGTGAAAGAGAAATGATGTCAGATGGAAATTTATATTATGAGGAAAGAAAAAAATGTGTCATTCATGGTAAATATGAGGATCCCAGATTTCCAGAGAAGTGCAAAGAAGAATTGACAGAGCGACTAATATTAGGTCATCTGAAAAGTCTTTATGTATTTTGCTATGTCTTTCTGTGCCAAAATGTGTCGTGCCTTTCCTGATGGCCTAAGTATATTGGTGACAATCATGATTTTACAATACAGTTCAGCATTATAACAAATTCCATAAATATTACAACATAATTTAGGATTCTCTTTCCCCATACCACTTCCACAGTTAAAATCAATGCAGTTTCATCTATACTTACAATCATTGGTGCGCCAGGGTTTTGAGCTATAATTGTAGTGATCACTAAAATATCATTTCTAAGCTGACGATCATAATGACTGAAACCTCTCATAAACAGATTTTTAAATACTTCCTTCAGAGTCCTAGAAAGTAAAATCATATTTTAAAAACCAAATCGTTATGGATTGAATGTTTGTAACTCTCCAAAATTCATATGTTGAAATCTTAGCCCCTAGTGCAGTTTCTGATTTTTTCTACACTTCTGAATCGGCTTTTAATTCACTATGTCCTAAATAAGAATCCACTAATCAATGTCATTTCCCTTTATAAAATCAATTTGAGTTTTTTCTTTGTTCTTAGGATATGGTTCTTCCTCTTTAATAAGGTTTATCAGACTTTTCTCTTTTTCTCTTTTAAAGAATTATCTAACTTTATTTATGTATTTATTTATTTAAATTTGACCAGAGAGGGATACACACACACACACACACACACAGAGACAGAGACAGAGACAGAGACAGAGACAGAGAGAGGGAAAGTGAGAAAGCAAGCCACCCATTCTGGGACTCAAACCATAGTCAGACATGTAGGAGTCCAATGCCCTTAACTACCACACCACCTGCTGGCCCCTATCAGATTTTTCATGTTATGATTCTTGCTAATGTTGTTAGCCTCATCTCTCACCATTTTACCCTGTTTATTCTGCTCTTGCCATACTTAATTTATGTGTTTTTATTCTGTTAAATTCTATTTTCACTTCTGTTCTCCCTGTATAAAATGCTCTCTGCATGCAAAATTTTTCTGTGTTTCCTAGTATTTTGTTGAAGATATTTACATCTATATTCATCAGGGGCGTTGACACTGGTCTTTATTTGGTCATATCATTGCTTTTGGTATCAGGATAATGGTGGGTACATAAAATAAGTTGGGGAGAATTGTTTGCATTAGGATATTTTAGAGTAGTTTGAGGACTGGTATTAGTGCTTAAAAATATTTGTAAAATTCAGCAGTGAAGCCATCCAGACCTGGGTTTTTTTTTACTGAATATTTTTTCCCTTTCTTTTTAACTTTTTATTTATGTACTTCTTATTTTAATTTGACCAGAGAGGGACAGAGAGAAATCAAAAGAGAGAGAGAGAGTAAGTGAGAAAGAGCCGCTAGGTCCGGAACTCAAATCATGGTTGGCCATGTAGGAGTCCAGCGCCCCCAACCACCATGCCACCTGCTGGCCCCAATTGAAATATTATTACTGATTCAATCTCATTACTTGTTATTGGTCTGCTTGGACTTCTGTTTTCATTCTGGTTCAATCTAGGCAGATTGTATGTGACCAGGAATTTATTAATACCCTCTAAATTTTCCAACTTGTTTGCATATAGTTAGTTGCTTTTAATAGTCTTTTATAGACTTCTGAATTTCTGCGGTACTGGTTGTAATGTCTCCTTTCCTTTCTTTCTTTTTTTGAGATTTTTTTTTTGCTATAGGGCGCGTGTGCTTGCCAGAGAGACAGAAAGCGAGAAATCATCCCCTGGGGGGAGGACCACACCGCAATCCCTTCTCCTCCATTCTCTCAGGATCTTGGGCACGCACGCACACACGCCTGGCATGAGTTTAAGCCCCTGGGTCCGGAACTCGAACCATGGTTGGCTACATAGGAGTTCACCGACATAACCATTACGCTAACTGCTGGTCCCATAACTTAGTTTTAGCAAACTACTTTTTATGCTTTTTTTTAAAAAAAAGTTTTTTGTCATAGGGGATGCTGCACAATCACGAGAGAGGAGAAAGTGAAAGGGAAAGTGAGAAATCACGCTCCTGGGGAGAAGGCCACTCCCCAGTCCCTTCTTCTCCATTATCCTCCTGGGAATCTGAGCATGCACACACACATGCCTGGCGAGATTTTCAAGCTGCCAAGTCTGGGACTCAAACCATTGTCAGCCATGTAGGAGTCCAGTGCCTTAACTACTATGCTACCTGCTGGCCCCTTTAAGGACCTTTCACATAGAAAAGCATGGTTTGCTATTGTGCAGATTCACTAATACCATGCCATAAAAAAAGAAACATAGGCATTATATATAAATAAAAAGCCTAATCAAACAAGATTCAAACAATTATATTAGTTATGTCACTGTTATCATTTTAAGGTTAAAAAAACTGTTCCTACCCACATATACTTACAGCAAACATTCCAAGTTACTAAGCTGCTGTATGATTTCTTCTTTCGAAGATTTTTCCAACAAATTCCACAGTATTTCTGAGGAACGAAATAGAAGCTGTCCAGAGGGATCTGGGTCATTGAGGTGAGCACAGATTCCATTGGCTGCTTGTACTTTCATCATTAAAGTGCAATTAACTTCTAGATACAAAAATTGTAAATTATTTTTATTCCATAATCTTGACACTGTTGACTAGAAATAATAAAGAGTTAATAATGAGGTATCCAGACATGGCTCCAGCAAACTAGATATTTCAGGGAATGAAGATTTTCTACTGATAATTCAGCCTCCAGCAAACGAGCTAGCAGTAGGGAGCCCCCCCACCCGCACCCCCAGCCTTCTATCTCTGTTTCTGTGTCTCGGTTCCTGTCTCTCCCTGCTTCTGTCTTCCCTTTTCTTTTGTAATTTTTCCTTTTTACACTTTTTTTAAAAGGCACAGTTTTTCTCTGGCTCTCAGCTCCACCTTTTATCTTGTTAATTATTGCTCTGGTCCTCCCACCCAGGCAGAAGAGGCTGGGCCTTCAGAAAAAGGTTCCACATGGCTCCAGCCAACTAGATAATTTGCGTGGCGTGCTTGCGTGCTGCGTGGTTCTCTATTTTGTGATTTTTTTTTTAAAGAACAGTAATTACAATTTTTAAATTTTTTCTCTTTTTTTCCCCTCTCTTTGTTGTTATTTCTCTCTCTCTTTTTCGTTTTCCTTTTTCTTGTCTCTCCACCCTCCAAAATCCATTCAAAGTGCTTTTAGACGGATCTAAGAGCACTGTAGCTAAACATCCAAATACTAATAGGGTTAAAATATTCCCCAATACCTACTGAATATGCTGCACCAGTGATCACAACAGAACGGCAAAGAGATTCTACATCATCTCTGTCTGCTTGCTCCTGAACATTCAGGCTGAACTTCAAGAATTTGAAAGAAACACACCATCCATCAGATGACAAGAAATCACTGCTGGATCAAGAGAAATATGGGAAAACAAGAAAATACCTCTCCTCCAAGGGAAAAGAGTAACTTTTCTTCATCCACAAGCAATTCAGTGAAAATTATGGAAATGTCTGATAAGGAATTTAGAGCACTCATAATGTTGAAGCTACTAGAGATGGAAGAGAAGAGAGATAATGAACTGCTAAAGAGAAAGGAGAAAGAAGTTGTCGAGTTCCAGGAGATGAAGAAATTCTTGCAAGATCTAAAAGAGGAATTACACACTTTACAAAAGACTCAAATGGAACTGCTAGAGATGAAGTCTA